TAAATGCAACTTATTTTTTCGGTGAGTATTGGATAAGAGGTCCTTCCAGCGATCCCTATCGTGTCCTTCTTTCGTGTGAACGGCTTCAGCTACGTATCCGATCGCTAACTACTACAGTCTCATCGAACTATTCGATACTTAAAGAATACATTGTTTATCCCCGATGGTAGCGTCGCAAATTGAAAAAACGTGTTTATGTTTCGTCGAAGTGTCTTTTGCCTATATACGTCGTCCACCGCGCCTACGACGAGGCTAACTCGAGTACGGCGGTTCTCGTATCTCTCGGCCCTAGCTGCTCGATGTCTACGTGGGAGGCTAATTTATGATCCAAAGCAACAACGGCACCGATCAGTCCAACGAGGCCGACGAACCGTGAATTGTAAATCACCGATACGCTCGATTATCGGCGAACGATGCAGCCCGGAATCCTCTCGAAAATTCCGTAACTCCGTTCGAATAATTGGCGTCCGCGTTGGTAGTGCAAATAATCGCCCCCGATCCGACAGAATCGCGACGCGACGTTGCATAAACGTACACCACCGGGACTCGTTAACAACCGGCGACGCGCGTCGACGCGAGACGTCCTCGTTTTCTGCCTCGATTCCCCGTTTTCCGATCGCGCCTGTCCCCGCGGCAAACAGAGGCGACCCGGGTACCCGAAAGGTCTGGAATATTGCGTTCTGTAGGACCAATGCGAGACTTTCTAACGGTACAATTAAATTAGACCATCTATCGTATCTGTAGGGATCTTTTGGTAGAACGGTAAATCGTTTGTGGCTGATAAGAGGACCCGTGGCCTGAGCGGTTCGGTCAGAGATCCAGCCTGTAGAGATTCTAGTACATCCAGAGATCGCTCTTCGGTACTCCAACTAGAGCATCTAATATTTAGTGGCAGAGTACTCACATCCAACTAGTGGTTCTAGAGATCCACGAACTCCTGGAGCTCTAACTCGGACCTAACTTAGACCCTAGGCCCCCCTCAGTGGCTCAACTAAATTTGAATACCATGATTTCGCGATCGAAGTTTCGGGTACTCGTGCACCTCAATAGTCTGGCCGAAGAATGCATAGACTTGGGAGAACTTGTAAAGTCGATAAATAGGTCTACAAAAGTTCGCGTTTGTGTCCCTTAGACTGATTTTACTACGAGAGGCGTCAACGATATTAACACATCAACGACGGGGCATTTTTATTAAATGTTTGGTATTTGGACCAAAAATAAGCTTTTAAATTAACTGCTGCGATGTATTCAAGTGTCAGAAAAAACACTAATAAATATATGTTGCAATAAATAATACCGTAATCGCAGAAATTACTCGTTCCCCGTCGGTAACGTAAAATTTCTTGCATTATTCAGTCGATTCGTTCTTCGACCCGACAGTACCGACAGAGCTGTCTCGGACACTGACGATCGTGCGCCGCTTCGTCGATGATCTCGATGATTACCTACAGCTCTCGTATTTATACAATATAATACTTATAGAATCGGTCTCTATCGCCTAGCGCGCCGATAGTTGAGACTGTTTTTTGTTTTTCATTTTCATTAACTTGGCGTGGTCTTCCTGGCACTATAATGCACTTTTAAGAAATCTATATAAAAATATTATGTGGAGTTATGTCCAGTACGTTGAGCCGCGACAGGGAGAGAGGAATAGAGAGAGAAATAGTGAGGAGTGAGAGATCCCCTCGGGAGAACGGAGGAGCGGTGAGAAAAGGAGAACGAGAAACCCGATGACGGCATCCAGAGAGGATAGAAGAAAGAAGGGGAATGAGAACGTTGTGACAATTGTGTCTTCTTTTGTTTTTTTTCTTTTTGGTCCCGTTTCGCGTTTCGGAGTAGCCGCGAAACAACGCTTTCGAAATGAAACAATGACGGACAAGACAAACCAGGTCCCAACATTTTCCTTCGCGATAACGAACGATCGACCATTTCTGAGGGCAGATTAGTCTCTTCTCGTCGTTCGATGATCTCCGTCGTTCCTCCAAGACTTTTCTCTCTCCCCCGTTGGATGGATTCCGTCTTGTCCTCCGTTTCTTTTCCTTCGACGAACCGGGCGGTCCTCTGTCTGCCCCCAAAAATCTCGATCCCGTGGTTCACGCGTCGATCGTGCAATTACGGCTTTTGCTCCTTCGTTTCTGTTGTTCGTTTGTTGCTCCACTAAGTCGTCGGTAGTGTTTCTCGGAAGTCTGAACATCTTCGGGGTTGATCACGTCGGAAAGAACGAATTATGCACGTCAAACTGCGTGGACAACGTAACATGCTATATTACGCTCGAAATTAATAATATATTACGAAACGAATGTGTCACGGAATATCATAATATATTATCAACATGTGTATGCACGTGTGTGTGTGTGTGTGTGTGTATGTCCGTTCGTGTTCGTGTATGTTTTAATATATGTACGTGTATTATTTATATATATATTTATATATTTATATATGTATACCCGGTAGCTCCGAAGAAATTAATCGCAGCATCGCGCGACGCGATTGATTTCGTCGGCGCTGTTCGTTAACGTACTCGTACCCCTCCCCCCCCCTCCCCCTCCCCCCCCCCGGATCCGTGTAGTCAACTCGAACGTTTCGTTATCAATTAACGTAATTATCTTTATTCGCTCGCGCCAACGTGATGATGGAACGACAGAACGTTACGTGACCGGAAGCTCGAGTACTCCGAACGATTCATCACGATAAAATCGACGTCTCGGTCGCGTCGGCTTCCGGCCATCTTGCGGCGTCCGCGACTGGACAAAATGGTGCCTCGAACGGAAAGTGGCGAAACAGAAGACAACAAAGTTGCAAACAAGTAACGGTAGAAAGTGAAAATTCCTAATGATTTAATTTCTGGGAGGCTGTAAACAATTTTGGAGATTCGTATCGCGTCGATTGCTATTTTTTAAAACGTACAGCATCTTGTTCGAGGTACCATTTCATCCGATCCTGCTGCCAGCGTCAAACGAAATATCGTTGGCGGATCGATTACTTCCCCATTCGTCTAGACGTATTTCGTTTTAATTAAGCCTATCTCGTGGCAACGGCTTCGAGCGTGTGTAGAGAATGGACCAGCTGCATAATCCCGCGGATATCAACTCTATCGGAGATTACCAAGGAGGAAAGAATATCCTCCGGTTCGAAAGAAGTCACGTAGCGAATTATTCGAAGTGCTTCTGTCTTTTGTGTGTCAGGGCCAGTTCGACGATTTTTACATCGAATGTATTTTTATAACAAGAAACGCGGACGTTTAAACTGACTTCAAAACGAAGACGCGATGTTCGAGCGACCTAGATTCTATTTTATTCTATTAAATACTAAAATTCTGTCAACACCTTTTAAATATTTCAGAGAATGTCGACAAGCTGAAATTTGAGATTATTCGAGTCCAAAGTAGAATTTAATGATTCGGTTGGTAAAAAAATAACGAGCAAATCGATTCGTCTGGGTCGGGTCCGGGTCAAGATCGTCCGAAGGTCAGACATTTTCACTCGGTCGAATTCGTTCCAACGTTCTCCATGCTTTTTCAGTTACCGGAATAAATTCGCCCGATATTTGCTAAAAATAAAAAATAATGTATCGCGATCGCTTCGAGGCACGAAAGATTAAACAATGTTGCACGATGCATCGCGTGATCCCTTTCGAACCGTATCGGTTTCGTCCACAACAATTTTCGATAAAATCAATGTTTGCGGCGTTATGCGAGCGGGACCACTTTGCGCGCGTGTACGCCGTTGTGCGTAGCCCGTTTATAAAAAATTCTTTGGTGGAAACGTAGCCTTTGTACCCGTGCGCCATGTACATACACTTTGTATACACTAACAATATAATATCCTATGTAACCTACGGACGTTAAAGCGGATAAGATCACTTTGCATTCTCCCTCCATCAGTCCCGGAGATTCACTTCGTGGTCTCTTGGTGGCCCTTAAAGTTCGTCCGGCGTGATTCGTTTTGGGGTATTGACAATGGAATTTCCTGCTATTGTTCTCTATTTACACAGTCGGCTATTGTAACATTAAGGTCCGGGTTTGGTGTCGCGGTATCGGGGAATTTATTCTTTGGTTCGCGTTCGGTTGATCGTTCTCCGATGTTGAAAGTTCCAGGCGCGGTCACGAAGCGGTAATATTAATCTGCGATCCATAACTCTGGCGTAAAAGCGAAAAGAAATATATAAATCGGTCTGGGTTATCTACGTATGCATCGCTTCGTTGTTAGTTGCAATTTTGAGTTCAGGGCAACAAAAACTATTTTTTTTCACGAAAATCCTTCTGACAAGGTAATCGCTGCACGCTCGTTTCATTAACCAACAAAGAACATGATCGTTCGTATAGAAAATAATTCCAGTGTTCTCCGAGGCAGCTCCGATTCGGGGGTATGTTAAACAAACAATCCGCCGCTTCGTGACGGTGCCCGGCGTCGCGAGAAAAAAGTGTGTAACAATTTCAGCAATCTCTCGTTCCGTTTGGCGGAAACGCGAGAATTAGGTCGCGAAGGGGAGCAAGATAGCGAGACAACCCGAGCAGTGCAGAGACATTTTCAGGGGTCAGACGTGACCGGGAACCGTTTCCTTCCCGTTGTGGTAACTTAAAATTTTTTTATTTCATATGCGTGGTTCGGACATTATCGCGTCCCCGAAACGCGCCTCCATTTATCGTTTTCATGTAAAAGTGCTCATAAAATATTCCGCGCTACTTTTTTCGTCCCCTTGCACGCGATCCGCGAGCGAAATTAAAACTTACCGACGAGCACGACGCCTCGTGTCTCGCGCGTATAACGCTATAACTTATTCCCTAAAACCGTCGTTACGCAGGGTGGTTTCTATTCCCCCCCCCCTCCTCCCGTCCTCCCGGTGATTTCGTTCGATGGGAAACCTCGCTCGCGCTCGTCCACCTTAAGAGCCACCCACGTTCTCGCCGAGGGGAGACACGTTCTCCGCGCACATTGTGCCTATCCGCGTTCCTTTTTTTCACGAGGTATACAGAGATAAGATGGAGTTCGTGTGTCGAATATATATTTAAATATTAAGAAAAAAGTTTTCAGGCACGCAAGTTGGGCAGGGGAGCAGCTCGCAGCAAGTGGAAGAGGACGCTCGTATCCGTGAGTCCCTCCTTTCTGTTCGCGCTGATCCTCGTGGATCCTACGGAAACATGGATCGATCCCTAAGCGTTGGGGGATTCCGCCTTTCGACCTCTGTGTGTTTGTTTCTGAGTGTACGTGTGTGTGTGTGTGTGTGTGTGTGTGTGTGTGTGTGAATTTGTTTTCGTTTTAGCGAGAAGACACAGTCAATCGGGAAGAGGATTGGACCCGTTGTTTATGCTACTGCAAGACTTTCGTTTTGTCTGTGGTTACGGAAGTGGGCGGTTAGGTTCGATCGTCGGTGGTCGCGAGACTCGATTCCTCGACTTCCGGCGAATAGAAGCTATTAACGCGTTCGTTACCGCAGCGATGTATCTGGTGCAGTCTTTTAACTATGTACAAATAAAACAGAATACTCTGGATACCGACACGGAATCGTAGCCCTCGTTCGAAATAGAAAATGGCCGCGACAGCGAACGCGTCAAAGGGAGAAACGTAAAAGTCAATTGTCAAGTTTGGTACGGCGAGTTCGGAAGCGGCGCAAGTTCATCCACAGACTTTGAGATTTCTCTATTGCCAACTTTCCCTGACCTCTCGACTCTCTAGTTTGCCATCAATCGGAATTGGCGACTATTGATCGTTAGGAACCTGCAGTTTCAACTATGACCCGAATCGCTGGTTTCGCTTCTAAGACTTTCTAAGAATAATTCAACACTCGAATATCAAAATAAAGATTAAAAAAGAAAGGATCACGATACTCGGTTACCATACAGAGACGACTCGTTGACTAAGCACCTACAAACTGAACGTCTCTTCAAGACACCGGATGTACCCGTACCAAACTGAACTCCAAAGGACAAACAACTACCTCGAGGGTTTCTAGGTCCAAGAACGCTTGGTCTCGCCACCGACCCGATGTTAAACCACCGTCCATCGAACTCCACCGGTCCCAGAGTCTCGCTGTAACGAGTTCTCGCACGATGGACCCGGAGAAACTTTTTCCTGTTCCCTTTGAGAGGGATCGGGGCAGAGGTAATCGCGCGGGAGGGACTCGAAGATACGCGAGCGTCTATAAGTACCCATCGTCGGGCACCTTAGTAAGAGTGCTGCGGCTGCAAAGACGAGACTCAGCTGTGTGGAGACTTGTCGGACCCCTGACTGTTGCCCAGTCCTCCCATTCCGGACTGCGAGGTGAGCCTGGTGGCTGACTGCGAGGTCGTCGTGGTGGCCACCGTGGAGTGAGCCAGGTTGTGGTGCTTGCCAGTCTCTGGCACCAGGTGAGGCGTACGGCTCGATACCGGCGGCAGGACCGGACTGACTGGCCACGGATGAAGGGACATTGTGCTGGGCGCGCTAGGCACGCTCCTCGAGTGCGGCAGCAGCGGCGAATTCGACATGCTGCCCAGTGGATGATGGGCGGACACGTTGCTACCGGATATGCCCATCGACAGGCTGTTCACCACGGAGACACCGCCGACGCCGCTCGCCGACGCCATCGCGACCGCCGTGTCCGGGTGAAGGAAGTTCCTCCGCTGCTCCATACGCTCGGCGTGCTGAGCCAGGCACCTGGTCAGCTCCTCCGGCAGCAGCTCCAGTTGACCCTGAAGGCCGGTCAGTTTCTCTTCTAGGCCGATCAGCCGGTCCTCCAGGCCCACCAGACGCTCCTCCAGCGCGTCCTGACGCGTGCTCATGTCCGAGACGATCTCGTAGACTGTGTTCTGCGTCTGTTTGGGTGAACGTCGTTACCAATTAGTCGGTAGCTCGAGAAATCTTTGGAGTCTCTGGGCTAGCAAAAGGTCGGTTCCACCTTGATGGAAATATGAGGTTCGATTGGGTTTGTTGAAATTGTACCATAGAGAGACGACTGGCTGTCACGCTACATAGTAGGAGGATTCACATTTCCATGAAAAACACATTTTTGTTCTAATACTCCGAGCTTATGGCTATGCCAATGTTGTCCAATATTCTATCCTACTTTGTCTTGATACATTTCGTTCGAATTCTAGTAGCGATCGACTCGGTCAATAATGACAATACGTGCGAGGACAGCCATCGAGTCATCTCTCTGATGTACATACAGGGTGTTCCGCATCTTTCCGTACACACTTCAGCAGTGAGTTTTACGAGTAAAAATAAGACTAAAGCGTTATATAACAAAGAATTCATAAATGCTTTGTTAAGAAGTTATGACAGAAACGCTGTTGAATATATCTATGGTTATCGACGTACTATTGAATTTATTATTGACTTGAATTAGTTGCTGACCTCTGAAAATTCTGAGTTTAAGAGACTTTAGCGTACAGGTCAAGTTTATGATACGCGTCTGAACTCTCGTAAACGATCCAAAATGTCGACGAATTAAGGCGGAACTTGAATTTCAGGAAATATGGCGGCGCTTCGATCCCCGATAGGTTGGTTTTATATTCTACGTTCGAGTTTTCGGGTGTATGGGACACGCGATTGACCAACAATCGGCCCCAATAAGCGCCGTTTCATCGCGGCCAACAAAATAATATGGTTCTTCGGCGAATCTTCGTCCTGCGAACGGGGTCCGCAAACGAAGGGCTTGTTCGCGAATACAAGAGGCGGTTGATCGACGATACGCGGGACAGCGTGTCGTCGACGCGGCTAATGGGGGAGTTTAATCGAATTGTAAGTTACTTGCGTGCGGGTACCTTGGCCATATCGGTGATGGTATTGGCGTTGTCCATTAATTTTCGCTGATCCATCTTCACTTTCCTGAGTCTGAAAGTTTGCATTACGGATGAGAATGTTAACAGACCCACGGTACACGCCGATTACGTGTGCCGGTCGTGTGGTTGGGTGTATTGACTTACGCGTATATAGCCAACAGAAATTTCCGCTGGTGCGTCCGAACACGTCCTGGATTCACGCGTTTCACTATGCGGGTGTACTTGTAAATTAGCCACGTCTCGCGTAACACGTTCGCCGCGGCGTTTTTCAGCTGAAACAGAACGTGTCCACGATTATTACCCGTATCCTGTTTCCTTGTTTCGAAAGCAATACGGTCGATCCATCGCGAGCAATTCCTTCGTGCCGTGGCTCGTCTTAAACAATTAGCCGGATTCGCCGGTGAGATTAATCCACCCACGTCAGCCTCGGTGTATTCGCTAATAATTTTCGTCTACGGTTTCTTAAATCTAGCTTCAATCGAGATCTAATCGGAACTAATCGCTCAACGCTCGGGTCTACTCTTGACACTCGTATGGAAAAAGTATGCTCGGTGTTCGTAAACGTTTCTCGGTGTACAATGTTGAATAGTTTCTTGAAACGTGCAGTTGTTCTCTATCCGATAGGATAGTCCTACTTCTAATATCTTTTATGTTTCTTTACAATGGTAATCTACGTTTGCGTCTTACCTGTTCTTTTCCTCTCTATCGCATCTAAAATCGTTAGAAATGTAAATACTTACTGTGATTTTCCTTGATTTCAATTTGTACATTTCATTATTAATAGTCAGAACAAGGAGGAGATGTCTGAGCTTTAAGAACTCAAAGTAATTAGAAATTATCGAGGCAAATAATGAATCGAGACTGATTGATACATTGACTGTTGATCATGCTTATTAAAATGATGAGTGGAGAATAATTGTTACAGTGGAGTCTCGATAAGCTGAGGTAAACGGTGCGAAAAAGAGCTATTGGGAGCTTGGATTTACCATAGTAAAGGATTAAATTTTTGTTATTAACTATAAAACATTTAGTTAATATACACAGATAGTGAAGAACCTGGTTTTTGTAATTGATCAACGATGTGTTGAGTTGCTGTGTAACATACAGGGTGAGGTACTTAATTATTATTCATTAATTAGATATGTAAAAAAAATATTTCATGCAAAAATCATTTGATTTTCAATGGGACATAGCGCCATTTTTCTGGTTCTAAGCGAAAGTGTCGAGCGTACGTTTAAGGTTGATCATTTTTATTCATCTTTTATCGATATCCACTGGCAGATTACTGTTGAGGGTCATTCAAGGTCAACGTAGATACGAAACAAAATATTTTAGTTCCGTGCAACGCCTCCATTAAACGTTGGAGATCGTAAAACTGGTTGGTCGAGAAAACAGAAACAATCGGGGCACGACGCGAATTAAATTATCGAAATTCCACTGTATCGATCGATTTGATTTCCCAAAGTTTGTTTGAGTTCCAAAGCTTGCGTAGAAAAAATTCGATGGAATACCACGAAGCAGTCCAGTCCCAGTAACGTTCGATAATTGGAAAATTGTCGAAGCGAAGCGACTGGAAACGCGTTTTTCTCGATGGAAAGTGGGAATGTTAACGATTACACAGAGCCGTCGCAGAAATTTTGCATCCGTTCTATCTCGACGATCCCGGCGTTCCCTTCGCCGAGAGATTCGGAAACGATCGTCCGACTCGATGGAAGGACCCGGTCGTTCGTTCGAGCTTTCTTCCCTCATTTTTCAAGTTTTTCACACATCGTTGGCGCTGGCTTTGTCTCGTGAGATGCAATTCTCTTGTTCGACGACCAACCACCAACCTCAGCGGATCGATCGGGACACTCGGACCATCAAGAACGGACAAAAATGACAATGACACATTAGACGATCGGATCGTCCCGGGTCCAGCAAGAAAATATCACCGGAGACCCCTGGCTTGGAAGTTTGACGTCAATTGATGTCGACCTTCCCCGTGGAAAATTCTCATTAGCGTTGCGTTTTCGTAAAGGGTTAAAGCTAAATTTCAAATAATAGATTTCTTTGATTAATGAAGCGACTCGATAGTCGATCGAGATAGTTTACAGACAATAATTGATGTTTCCTTTTCAATTTCTTAAAAACGATAAAAGATACGGGTAATTCCTTATGGTTAGGATCCTTACTATAAGGAATTATCCATCTTTTCGATACCCAGACAATCCTTTGTTCGAGTTGCACGAAAGCTTCAAGGATTTTTCACTCGGTATCTGCAACTTACATTCTTGTTAATCTCATGGTACATTCCTATTTATATTATCAGATGCGAACGCATACATTTGTCAGTGTTAATCTTTACAGAAGATTGTTTCCATAGGAGGAGGGTTATTCTACAAGATCATGCTATGTACAGATAATATCACGTTCGAATAGAAGAGTGTTCCAATGTTAGAGCATTCTAGTAATTGATATATATATTAAGGATTTTATATACATATATATATATTAAATTTGTTTTGTCAATCAATGTTCAATTTTACTGCTGACGTGAATCGTATGTTAAAGTTACCGTCTTATTACCGATTGAGTTTCAAGTCGTACTAGAATTATAAAAATAATTCGTTGCTAGCAACAAGGCGAACCCAATTTTCATTGAAAGTTTCTGACTTTCATGAACACGGCAGAACGAAAGCTTGCTGCTGCTTGTTTCAAGCCCGACGGAATTAATGCGTTCATTTCCGCGACTTTCCAAGAACGTCGCGGGCAATTGAGCAGCGTTGGAACTTAATTGAACCTCGCTTGGAATGATTTATAGCGCCAATTCTTTGACGAGCTTTCCTCGAGCGTTGAGGACAATATTACGAGCAGCGAAGTGTGCTAATTTCTTCCTGCGTTGTTCGAACAATGAAGTAGCCAATCGTGTAAAATAATAGCAGACTTTCTGCTGCTAATATCGTCATCTCATACATTGATAATATTAACATTGTTCCGTCGTTACACATATTTTAATTTATAATTCAGCGTCCTGTAATTATTCATCGAACAGATCGTAAACAAAAATACACGAATATTTATTCTGACTTAGCAGCTTCGACTCTACCAAGTTCTTTGAATTTCTTTTCGAAATGCGTCGGAAAAATCGGCCAATGAGTCACATCACGAAGAAATCGTATCGCGAGATCGATCCGCATCGCTTGCCCTTATTCTTACCTCGACCTAAATCAGCGCACGATTCTCTCTTAGATACTAGCTTTAATATGCCTCTTAGACTCAATAGAAATAAACGTTGCAATCGCATATTTCTCGCGTTAGACGTCCGACACAAGAACACCAAAACACATCGTGCTGGTCACGTGAGAATACGAGATTCGCGAGACTGCCCGTCGACCGTCGTTCACATAAGAACAAAGTAATACGATCAACCCTTATTAAAAAGTACTATTCTGTTTCTCCTCCGCGAAATGTGCGCTTCTTAAAAGCGACGATACTGCGAACAACGTTTGAATCTGGCGGTCGAACAGCTCCTCGTTATACAACAATCCCCGGTTGTATGCGTCAATATCTTTTATTCGCTGAATGAAAATAAAAATTTATACTTATCGTTTCTCTGTTTATTCGTATTTCGTCCATCTTTGTCGCTAACGAGGAAGCGATCTCTTTCCGAGCACGTGATGCGCAAGGCAGCTGCGCAGAGTATCGGTACGCCATTGACGAACACGTGCATCGAACTTCTGCGCACTTGCTTCGCGCATCACGTGCTCGACAAAGGGGTTGCTTCTACCATGGCGGCGTTTATGAATCTATAATACGATGAAATCGTTCGAAATGTATTACTCACCATAATATTACAAACGATTCCAAACACGACTTTTTTAAGGAAATTTTTCCCAATTAATCTTTACGTAACTTCCACCAAAACTGACGACGTACGAACGGAGATTAGCGTACTTTTTTCAGACGCCTTCGGAGGTACGCCGACTTTTCGAGACGAACATTTAGCACAGGAAAGTTCGAGGAACAGGATGATATTTTTTACGTCGGGGAGACGTAACCGTTTCGTTGTCACGTGACCGGAAGTTAAAGGGCAGTCCGCGAACCATGTTGTTAAACACCACGGTCACAGGAGCGGCAGCAGAACACGTACGTATGCTTAAGGGAAGAATCCTCGCAAGGATGTACCAGCGGTTGCGTCTTACCCTTTTCGTTAATTGCGTATCCATCATAAAGTTATGAACGTGCTTCTCCGCCCTTGTGAGCTCGAGCTTCCTGGAAACAACCGCCACCAGCAAGGCCGTGCATCCGGCGCCCTAAAAACACCGTGAAACGTACCTGTGAACTCGAGGCTATCCGCTGTACATTTAATTACGAAACTAGCAGCCTCGCTAATTACGAACTAATTTAATAGAATCTTCGGAGTTCCCTGCTACTACAAGGACTGCCTGTAAACAAGAAACAGACTGGGTACGACACGTCGACGTGGACGTGTTCGTGCACAGTCTGTTGCGATAATCATTTCCTGATATCTGTTGCTTTCCCTTTGTCGAATCGAATTTATTTGAAACGTTGCAATTTTATGGACTCAGGGGGTCATTTTAAGCGACAAATTCGATCAATTCTGAATTGAACAGTTGCTTGATCATTGCTGGGGTTTCTTAACTTGCAGAAAAATGGGACTTGCACTTTTCTAAATACGTGATTATTGTAATAGAAATGTTACTACGTATCGAAACTAAGGCAATTTGATTTCAAGCGTATCAATTATTTTAAGCAAAACTCGCTTTATTCTAAAATGAATGCTCAATTACTGCTGCTGTTTCTTTACTGGTTGGAAATGAGACTATAATAATGTGATTGGACTTCAAGCGCATTAATTACTTTTGGCTGCGAAAGGCAAACTTTATTCTAAAACGAATGCTTCATTTTTCCTGAAAATTCTTTAATGGTAATTAAACTCGCGCTTCGCTAAAAATACGACAGAATTATAATCGTAAGAGAATATGCTGCTGCGTGAATATTTGCTAATTGAAATTAAAGTAATACGAAAAATTGGAGCTATTAATGGATTCCAATTGTAGACAGTATCGCTTCGTTCTTAAACGGTTTCGTCGCGATGAAAATGATTCGAACTATAGTTTTACTATTTCCTTTATTGCTACAATATGAATATTTATAGTCTTTACCTAAATACACGATATTAGATGGACAAGATGTAATTGCATAAAAATTCGTAAACGGAAGTTACGATGATTCTCAAGACACTTTGAAGCTGTTAACAAATTCTTACTTCGGTCGAGCGAAGTCAATTACTTTATTCTTCAATAATTCCTTCATTGCGCTTGCATTTCCTCTATTACCGAAGCATGAAAAGTTACGATTCTTTATCTGTGCTCCACGAAGGTACCGTTTTGCTCGTTAAGCGAAATTAAAGTGGTTAATGTTATAAAATGATACTCCCGGTGCTCTCATTTTCATTTCAAGCATCTAAAATTGATAATAACGAGTTTTTAACATCTGTTACATTTTACGACATTATCAGGGATCTGAAATTCTACTCCCTAAGAGTCTGACTACGATTTATTGTTGATTAATTTCCCGTTCGATCGCGTAATTCTCGACTCACGACGCGTGCATTTATCACAAAGAATTTTCAACAAATTTTGCATCGCAAAATCGATGAAATTCTGTAGTTATAATATAGTTGTGCAATTATAATCGAATTGATCCTCTTAAGAAAATCTTTTAAGCTGATTACAAGCTTTTTTATTTCTCTTTACGTACAAGCTTTCCATGTCGCAAATAACGAAGTCTAACAGATTACTTTGCTTCAATTAGAGACAGATTTTCCTTTCGAGTCATCGTTCCTAAACAGGACTCGGTACGAACGTTGTCGCAGCAAACTTCGAGGGGAATCTAAATGGGATTTCGACGCAGAGTGATTCTTATAAGGCGACCGCTTCGGGACAAACAATTTTCTCGTATCAGCTCACAGTTTGTTCACGCTGGCGTTATTTTACCGGGTCTGCGCGATTCTTTGGCGTTTAGACTATGATTCATGACGATAAATTTATTCCCCGCTGTGTTAAATGGTGATGGAGAATCTGGTTGGCGGTCGTTCTAGTGAAGTTTCAATATCATAATTCATTTACGCGAACGTTTTCATTGCATAGCTTAGCCTTCATCAGCGCAAAACAAAGAAGTAGCCTCTGCGAACATACTTTGTTCCGTTGGTACGGGTATACAGGGTGTATCTAGTAACTAGACGGGCTACAACTGCTATATATAGTAATTGTTTGAGTCTTCAATATTTTTAGAACACGTAGTTAAAAGTATTCAGTTGTCAACGACCTTACCTTATACATCTTTTTAACATTCTTATTAAACAAGATTCTAAACAGTTTCGGTTTTTAATTCCAAGTAATATAATATAAGATCCTTTAATTTCTATCCGTCGTGATTTCACTTTTTCGATCCTTACTTCACGGTCTACTAAATTTATCTGAATTCTTGTATTTGTTCAGGTATCAATGTTTATATTTTCTTGCAATGATATTGCCAGCAGCTTCGTTTGCTCTACTGTGGTCTGTGACAGTCTGAAAAGTTCTCAGACCATCGGTACGAATTCATACATGTTTCTAAAATATACTAAACATCTAGGGGTAACGACAATGGCATGCACCGATTCTTTGCCCGATATTCACAGTGGTATCAAGCTACTAGGATGTATAAAATTATGTAACAATTAGTGAAGGACGTATGCAGTGGTATTTTTGTATTTGCAAAATTCTAGAACTTTAAATCTAGGTTCGAAAGATTTGCTGGATGTCAGTCTCACTAGTAATTTCGCTAAAGTCTAAATTCTACGCTCTAAGTAATCAGTGTAGTCTGATAGAATTGATCTACGTGTGTTGGTCGAATCTAAAATTACTGATAGAACAAGATCTCTTGAGATCTCCAAGGCCAGTAATGCGATGCAGATCTTGTACAGGGTTAGAAAAATTTAATATTAAAACGATAAATTTGAAAATTCATTTAGAATTTCAGTTCACATATACAAAATTAGTTACTCAATTTATATTACCGTGAAAAAACATTCTAGTTTAAAAGCATTTTCTCAGAAATAAAGACCCAGTGTGAAATAAAATAAATGTTTTCTATCGTTTTTACATCAACCATTCAAATGCAGAGGGATATACACTACGGATGTACATTGATATATGGTCACAGGCTACGAAAAGGGGTCTAACGTGGAAAAAGTATGGACTCACTTGGCCTTGCAGACGCCAAAAAATCTGCTCCTCGCTAAATTATTCCTCGAATATAAAAAAATAGTAAAAACGACGGATATATATATATATAACTGTTTCTCGATTATAAATTGTCTCGTATCGCCTGGAAACTGGTAAATCGCTTTTTAAGAATCACCCTGTACGAGGAAAGACACGCGAGCGCGGCGAGTGCTCGTTTCGGATAGTTTTGTGCTCGTCTAGCAGAATTTCACGGAAAATTGACCGCGACGGCGACTAAATTGGTTTACGATGCAAGACAGGGAATCCCAAATCGACGAATTAGCATAGAGCTGGGAGTGCAATAACAATAAGGAACCGGTGTATTCCCAATGGGGCGATTAGACTTCGCTGGTAGCATTTATCGTGACGAAGTGTCGCTCCAAGTGCATCGTAAATGCCACTTGGCGCAATGCTGTGGTCGATAATCCTCAGCCTCGCAGTGCACCGTGCATAAAACGTGCTGAATTCTGTATCGCTTAAATTGCATCAGGTCCCCATCGTTTCACGGACGGGTTCGGTTAAACGAATTTTTAAACAGCTAGGGAGGCATCGTCGATCTAACATCTGCAGGAATTTAGTGTCGATAAATCGTATCGGTATCGGATCATGCGTGACGTTTTTTGTGCAACCTTCGATTCATTTTCTTTCGATACGATATCCCGTCGCAAGCTCCGCTATGAAAAATCTAATATAATTAAATCGTGTGCGTGTTGGGAGATCGAAAATAATATTTGTCCTGTGGGCGTCGACAACGAAGGAAACAGTTTATTTTTTACTTCGTGTAATTCTAAAAAAAAAATCTAATCTATTCATAAAACTGAAAATAAAATTCTCTCGGCGTCGATGGCGAGTGAAACGATGCGTCTGTCTTTATAATTTCGATTCTGAACATTTAACAGTACGTTCGATCTAATGCATTCTATTTGATAACTCAAAATAATGTTACAATCGAGTACGCACAGAAAGTTCTATGAAAGTAATTTGCATGACCGGGCAGGAACATAGAATTCTATGAGAATGCTCGTACAAGAATGTGTGTCGATTATCAGCGTTTCTTGTAAACAAATTGTCTTAATAGCAGCAAGCAGGGTGTGCGTACAAATTTCGCGGGAATGTCCACGTTAAACTTTGAGTCTGGCCTTACCATTATTCCAGTTGAAACGGCTATACCTCGACCGCAGTACGTGTTGGGTACGATGTCACCGAAACCGACGCTCAGAAACGTGATGGCAATGAGCCACATAGCATTAAGGAGATTCGCGTGCTCCTCGTCGTGAAACCTGGTGCCACAGAAGAGAAAACAGAGTGAATTATTAGAAACGCTCGACGAGCAATCGTACTTCCTACCGCCTAAACGTCCCGTCCTGCAACAAACAGGCCAGTTTCCCTCGCAATCTCACCGCTAATCCATTTTCATTAAAAAAAAATTACGATCGAAACGCGGCCGGGACCCTTAATTAGTCGCTTAATTGCGCCGTTCGTACCGGTAACTTTCTTTCGAGGATTTCTTTACCGAGCAACAACGGATTAATCGTTTTTAAAACTTTACGGTCGCTGCGTGCCCCGTTCCTTCGAGAGTTATAAATCAAATTTTTTGATCACCGTTTGAAACTTTCACTGTGAATATTCCTAGCGGTTGTGGTCTGGTATGAATAATCTTATAATTAAATTCGTGAACTTTGGGACCTCTTTCTCGCGCAGTCTTAAACGTAATTAATCCATAGAAGTTTTACTTTTTGCTCGAGAAACGAAACATTGTAAAGAAGGAAGAATAGAGCAATTAAATAAATTTTTAAATTCGAACTTCCACCGACAATTGAATTTATCAATTAGGAGGGTTGCTCCTTGGTACCTCGAAGACTCCTCCGTCGTTGGAGCTAGTCTCGCACGTGCTGCTTCTCAATTGGCGCGTTTTTTCTTTTTTAAATTGCCACATTAATGTCTGTCAATAGTCAATCAATAGTCAATCAATAGTCAATCCTAGCAGTTGTGTTCTGGCATGAATAATCTTATAATTAAATTCGTGAACTTTGGGACCTCTTTCTCGCGTAGTCTTAAACGTAATTAATCCACAGAAGTTTTACTTTTTGCTCGAGAAACGAAACATTGTAAAGAAGGAAGAATAGAGCAATTAAATAGATTTGAAATTCGAACTTCCACCGGCAATTGAATTTATTAATTAGGAGGGTTGCTCCTTGGTACCTCGAAGACTCCTCCGTCGTTGGAGCTAGTCTCGCACGTGCTGCTTCTCAATTGGCGCGTTTTTTCTTTTTTAAATTGCCACATTAATGTCTGTCAATAGTCAATCAATAGTCAATCAATAGTCAATCCTAGCAGTTGTGTTCTGGCATGAATAATCTTATAATTAAATTCGTGAACTTTGGGACCTCTTTCTCGCGTAGTCTTAAACGTAATTAATCCACAGAAGTTTTACTTTTTGCTCGAGAAACGAAACATTGTAAAGAAGGAAGAATAGAGCAATTAAATAGATTTGAAATTCGAACTTCCACCGGCAATTGAATTTATTAATTAGGAGGGTTGCTCCTTGGTACCTCGAAGACTCTTCCATCGTTGCAGCTAATCTCGCACGTGCTGCTTCTCTTGGCGCATTTTTTCTTTTTTAAATCGCCACATTAATGTCTGTAATTGGATTACGGTGTGCCGCGAAGCACCGTATGCGCGTCGTCCTACCGAAATAATTGAAACGATGGAAATGGAAGCGAGAAACAAACCGGTTCCTGGATGAAATTTTTCGAAAACGAGTAGGAAACTGCAGCTCCCAGCCTGGGAATAAATTGCCGGTGCTAGCAAGTGGGAATCGTTACTTTTTAAACGACTAATTCAGCGACGTTGGTGCATCCGTTTCAGATAGAAAACTCTGCTATAAAAAATTACAGGAACGAAATATATTCGAGCGAAGATTCGATACTCCAGTATCGTCTGGGGAGAACGAAATTTTCCAGAAACCTGGAATTTGCTGCTTGGCAATTTTTCACCGGAAACAGGACGTGCGACTTATCCCTTTCGGGAGATCTCCGCAAGTCGAAGGACCGTAATTCCTTCGTCTGACCTTCGTCGTAATAGCTCGATTCCATCGACATCAAGGCGTTGGTCCAGAACGAAATGTACAGTGTCTTTCGTACCTTACTGCCACACAGGGAGAGATCTAGATAAAATACAGCCTCTATCGTCGTTTCGCGCGTTTCGGAAGAACGAGGCGGGTGGAGAGTTTCGGTCCGTGAATCTGCGAATCTCCCGGGACCAGGCGTTTCCCTTGTATTTCATTTCGAGAGTGTATCAGTATTGGTAAAACGGCCCGCATAAAATTCTAATTCCGTGAAAGACCCGGACTCTGGGGGGAAACGAGGCTACCAGAAATAAAAAGCGGAAGAGAACTCGCACGATCGTGGAATAGATAGCGGGCTAGGCGAGCTCGGATTAACGATTTCGAGAAATTGTTCCTACGTTGTTGCGCAACAGCGACGGAAGAACGGACGATAGGACGGGCAGAGAGATCTTTCAAATCGTCTAAACTAATATCGCGAATTTTGGGTAGATCCCACTAGCGATATCCACTATCTTGGAATAGACTCGATGATAAAAGAACGACCCGAATGAGAACGTCAAATATACTTGGGGCCGAGATGGTGTCGTTTAAGAACCCTTCTTCGATAGTTCCTAATGATAAGAAGGTCGATTCGAGTCGGAATCCCTCGGTGTGTTGGAACCAGAGGTTGTCTGTTCGCACGAGTACACTGAGCTAAAGAATTAATGGTACTGTGCGTTCGCGGGAAATTGGTTAGCGAAGGGAATGCAAGTCTGATTCGTTCCCCACTCTGATTTAGAGTTCAATCACACGAGAGTGGGGATGGGCGGAGCAAGTGAAAGTAATCCCCTCTACCTTGTGTTGTTTCACTAGTCAACTTCTCGCGGACGCACGTCATCCATATATTTCATTTTTTAACCGAAACAATTAATTCTCAAGCTGAAACGTTAAAGAAAATATATTTTAATTGTAATCTAGGTCTCGTAAAAAATTGTACACTGTTGCTCTGGCCATCAACGCGATATATTTAGTAACGAATTCAGCAGACACGCGACTATTCTTCGCTACGAGCTCGACGAGCATTACGGCAAAGAAATACAGTAAGTAATTCCATTCTTCCGGAACGAACTCCCCGTACATTGTACCCTCCGACGAATGGTAACAAACATATGTGCACAAACACGCGAGCGCTATAATAACCTCTGCAGGCGGATTAAATTTTCCCCGAGTCCCAAGTTCCGCCGCGACCAATCTCGGTCCCCCGTCGAAGCGGCGTTATAAATTCCCAAGATTTCATCGAGATCGTGAAATCAGGAAGTACTTTCCAGGACCAGAAACTTCCGGAAACGGGGGGGACGAGCGATTCTACAGTGCTGCTTCGATAACTGATTGAAAATTCAACGGGACTCTTTATCTGGCCGAGCAGACTTCCACCCCAGGTCGACATCTCATTTAACCTACGAAAGGAGAATGAATGCGCTCGGCGAATGATCATTTTTACGGCGCGGGGGACTCTTTCGAACCTTTTCTCCGTCTCGCGATGCAAAAATTGTTAATATTTAAACGCGTCTAAATTTATTTGCCTGTTTTAAAATCCGAAACGATGCATTTATATACATATTCATACATATTCAGAGATTTGATGGTCTAAATGCGGGCAAAATATATTATTTAATAATTCTAAATATTCACACGTGGAAAGGGAGACCGAATACCTCGTTTTATTTCGTTCTTTTGGACAAAGAATTCGGAAATGGCAGCGGTCCGGTAAAAATTACCCAAGCGTCCGCCGGTTAATGGTGAAGTTTGGGAGATCGGAAGACGTCCCATTCATCGCGGAAGTAGAGGGAGAAACAAAAGCTCCATCGAGAGACCGGGGAAAGAAAGAATCTCGAGGATCCGTGGTTATTCGCGCGAGAGACCGGGCGAGCCCTTATATATTGGCCCTGGGAGATTGATCGCCCTTAGGCCTCCGCGATTCCCTAAATCAACCGTGCTATTTGCTGGAGAATTTAATTATGCGCGGTCCAGCAATCCCGGCCCCGTATTAAACCTCTATTGCCGTTTTAACAGCGAGTCTCCGTCCGTTCGATATTCCCCAGAGAAGATTTATGCCTTTGTTCTGGGAACCTTCACCACCTGGCGCTATTAACACTATTTAGGCAACGAGATTTAGACGATTAGACGCGGTGTACTTAAGGAATTCGATACTGAATAGTACTAACGAAGTACACCGCCAATTATCAGTATCAGAACTGTTATAACTTCGTGAAAAAAGGTCATTTGTACCAAGGAGCGAGCCAGAGGGTTCTCGATCAACAAATTTTTTACCACAACTTCTCCATTTTTTAATTATCGTAATAAAGATGTTCTAATAGTAGTAATATTTGATATAGGGATATTTCTCGAGTGGATGTAATTCCTGCTGTCTCCTGTCCATCCGTCTACCAATTTTCAAATTAAGCATTTCCATGCATCGCGTTATTTTCATCCAGTTCACTTCATCACGCGCGACGATGTCGTACGTCATAAATGTCATGCACAGGGTGCCCCAAATGAAAAAAATCTTAATAAGAAGCGTCGCTTGCGTATATTACGGGACACGCCTAATTTTATGCAGTTCAAACTTTTCCATATACAATGTGACTTGTATTATTTAAGCTTTTGTCAAGGTTTTATCTGGTCTCAAGTTTGCCTCTTTGACACCAACAACCTTCCACTTCCTTGACTATTCTCCCCGTCTTCAAAAGAAACGAAGATATTCCAGATGTTCGCGCTATACGTCTACTGCAGACTCATGGATCAGCGTGTCCTTAAAAAGGAAGTTTCCTCCGAGTATTCTTCACTTTCGGTTGAAAACGACCCAGTTAAACTGACAAAGAAAACGGGTCGATGGAAAGGCCAAGAATATACCAAGTATCTATCGAACAATAGCGATCCACCCAACTTTCGGTCGCGACTGATCGTAATACGAATTCCTGTTTTAAGAATCAAATATACACGCGTGTAGTTCTTCTCGATGAAAGTGGGACCGTTTGAATGAAATTCTGACGCTATCAGATTGCGTGAAACGATTACGTTATTATTGTGCTAGCTTCAATAAAATATTGTCCATCTCTGTTCCCTGGTCACCAAATACCAAGGGCATTTGTTCCTTACCTCTCGCACTGACGTAACGTCCAAGAGGCGATGATCCATAACGAGACCATGAAGACGAGCAACACGGTGCCCGGGCAGATGGTCATCAGGGTCTTCAGGACGAACCTGGTGTTGAAGTTAATACGATTCAAGGCCCCTATGCTGCGCGACGAGGCGTCGGTGAACAGCTTCGAGTGCAGCAGCATCACGCGACAGATGAGGTAGAGTCTGAAGAACATCGGCAGCGAGAGGGTGACGTCGTACGGCACCCATTTGGAGCCGAAGTCGCCGCCCTTGTTCGCCAGCTTGGTCGTCCACAGGAAATAGTACTCCCCTGGGATCGGGTGGACCGCGCAGATTACCAACTCGAGCGTAATCTGCGCGATCCTCTGCCAGGTCATCGCGATCCGCCAATCGTCCGCGCAGTTATCGATCATGAACAACTGTCGGGGGAAAAAGAACGATCCGTTATCGACGCGATAACACCAGTTTACAAATTACTTATCGACCGCTATATTTCTGCTGGAAGGCGCCCCGGATCGGGGCATCGAGGATATCGGTCGATAAAGATATCATTTTTAGATTACTAACGCTTTACCGACATCGATATCGGCCGGTAAAGATATCATTTTTCGATCATTACCGACCGGACTGATAGGCAACAGGTCGGTAAAGTGTTAAGTTATGAAATTTAGTGGCTCTGTGCGTTCTATCGACGGTTTTTTAAATGCAAATTGAAATATATATCTAAGATAGACACAGATTTTATTCGTGCCTATGGTCCACGGTTACAAAACATATTTTATTCGTCTTTAAGTATTCGTCTGCATCACTGTGTATTACCTTTGAGAATTATGCCCTCGATATAGATCACACGATTGTACGAACTACGATATTAAGCGAGATGTTCCGACGGTCCTTTGACTGCTTTCGCGTTATCACAGAAATTTCGCTCGACTGGCTCGACTGACTATTCTCTCCGGCCGTGTTTCACAAAGAACCACGACTCGGCGGTGTTATTTGTTACTTATATTTTTCCCGTGTCGTTGAAGGTGAAATCCGGCAGCTTTGAATAGGATTATCATAATACACCAGTGGCGCGCCACTCTTGCGAAAATGCGTGGTGGGCGCAGATAAGTTGCATTATTTATACGCTGCCGGCGGTGCCATCGTTCCTGAGGCTCTCCTTTCTCTAACGCGGTTCACGGCTACGGTTACGTCTTCTTTCGCGGCGCGGAGTTTCCCGGTTACAGTAAGACGAGACAAACCTGTACAATGGGCGTCGTTGCTCCGAACATTACCTTCGAACTAAATAAAATCCTGAAAACCAATAAACGGAAACGGAATAATTTTAATATAAAACGGAGCAATATCATCTTTCGGTAGTTGTAAAGAACACGCGTTAAAAAAATTTCTTTAATAGTAAAGAAAATAACTCGAAAAATTGACGAACGTACTCGCGAGGAACGAAATACGTAACACGAAACACGAAACACGGAAACGTCAATCATTGACCAATAACAAAATGGACATCGACTGGTGAATAGAAGCTTCGAAAAGCTTCAGCAAACCTAACCCAGACCAGCACAGGCTACAATATACGTATACCGCGGGGGAGTACTGCAACGCAGCCTGCAGTCGAAATGTCCTTATAACGTCGAGCGAAATCGGAAACCGGACGGTAGAACGTTATCGCGTTAACAGAGAGAGGACGAAGAGTTCATTTCTGAATTCGAAAGGGTGCGGATGGTCGCAAACGATGTCTCGTAAAACGGGCGTTTGCGGTGCAACGACTCGTATGTTTTACGAGGGCTAATTCGTTAGATGGGCCACACAGGATCGCGAAGTCCCATAATAGCAGCCGCGGTTTATTGTCCCTACTGCGTCGCATCGATAAAACGAATTACACCGGCCTCGAGGAGATCGCGGAGGAGTTGCAAGGGTGTCGGAGGTCGAATCGGTATTTCCAAGCTTCCCGTTTGCTCGATTCCACCCCGGTGTTCTGCATTTTACAGTCCATTCGTGGCTGGTATTTGCTCTCCGCTCGCTATACGGCACAACCCACAGCCATTTTGTAGAATTTTTATCGGTCTTCTTCTGTGAACGTTTTTATGCAGGGTGTCACTTTACAGACGGTGTTTATTTTAAGAGAACATTTCCTGAATACGCTCTTCCTCTCTTCTTAAATACACGCGTTACACATTTTTAGAAGAGAGAATTTAATTCCTTATTTCATATTTCAGTGGTTGCGTGCATTTAAACCAATATTTAAACTGTAAAATTACCTAGTACTTCAGGTAAAATGCGATTATAATGCCCGCGATAGAAACGGAAGTACATTTACGGGCAGTGCAAGTCTTTTTTGCGCGTTTAATTGCGCAGGATTACGTTATTTTCTGTCTTCTGACTACTTAATCCCTTGTTTTATTACTACGAATGCTTTGAAGCTTACCATTTAAAGTGTTCCCAACATCGGACGTTCGTGCTTATTTTACGCAGTCAGATTCGTTTAAACTATTATTGTTACACACAATGACGTTAGAGGCTGATTTAAAACCTAATCTCGAACTATACAAATGCAAACAAGTAAAAATCTACGAAACCATTTAGCAAAGGATTGCCTAATAAAACATTGCGTGGGACGTTTGAATGAGAAGGTCAGAGCATTTCGAATTCCCGTGGGAAATTATGGTGATCGGAATTAAGTTCAGCTATTGTATTTAGAAGAACATTTCAACGGGATAAAAGATATTTTAGAAAGAAACGTCCGTTCGGCTAATGGAACGTTCGAGTAGAAGCGTACCCGCTGTGTTCTTAAAGAGGTTAAAAACAATAAAACAGTTTGCACAGTGGTGGAATCTACTTGACTTTGATTTTAAAGCACGGCCATTAAAATAATTGAAAAATTAAATCGCGTACGTGTCGGTATTTGCGATGAGATTAAAAACAGTACAAAAGTTTGTAAAATGGTGGAATCCACTTCACCGTGCTTCCAAAGTACTGCTACTTTCCTGCTCCAAAATTCATTCTGGCGAACTGAGCTGGCCAATTTAAATTTTGGTGGGCGTAATGCGATTGCCAGGAACGGATGGAAAGAGAACGGGAAGGAGAAATGCGTTTCGTTCCGTGTCTGTGGGTTTGCAAACTTATCAACAAAGTTACCTAATTTACCCGTGTCTCAGACTAAATGTCTACAATCAGTTGCAAATCTCCGCGTGCGAATGAAAGAATGCACAATGCTGTACGAAATACGAGAGTTTCGTATCAAATTGATTGCCAGTCAAAGTAACAATATCGAACTGCAAAAGTTTATAATTAAAAAGTACGATCTTACAGAAATATATACCCATCGTGTAAAAGTTCGATCACTTGCTACGAGTATGTTTGACGAACGAGTTGAAGTTTAATTATCGATTTTAACGAGTTAATGAAATACGGAACGCTTAAAAAATGTTGTAAAAATTATGAGTTTCTTTGCTCTCGAGAGAAAGATAATTATGGTAACAAGAATGATAAAGCTTTTTGGTCGTTGTGACCATCTTCAGGACGATGTACAAAGGATAAAATTAATGTAAAGGAAAATAATTCAGGGGAAAGGACGAGAAAGGTAAAAACGGTAAACTTACGAATATGCATGTAGGTGAAGCGTCACGGGAAAATAGCCTAAGGGGATTGCGATGAAATTTAGAACGCATCTCTGAAGTAGATCAACTTAAAATATCAGCTATAGAACTTCGCAAAATTCCTGCCGGGTTTGTCGGGGAAGCCAACTATAAAATGCACGATGTCTCGTTTATATTTGCCGGTGCGGAAAAATCATTTATGATATAATTTGTTGGGAATTAAATTTTTCGTAGGTATATTTAACATTGAGAAAATTAATCTCATTTTAATATTTCCTTGGTCAACCTTTGAAGAGTTCTCGAACAGGGTTTTTGCATTGTTTAGTTTCTTGCTGTAACTGTGTATGAATAGATCACTTGGAGATGGTTTTATCCCACAAAGTAGACGGTATCATAACAGTTACGACTCCGGGAACCTCAAGTTCATTAATCATGTCGGGATTATCTGGACCGAGCCAGCAAAGGAGACGAGCTCTTTCACGTTCTCCAAACAGAATGGTGGAAAATACCAAATGATTCCATGAAAAGATTATTTGAAATCTGTAGCCGGCTATAGATCTGGAACGAAAGTAGGCCATACAAAATATAGATGTTAGAAATCAATCAAGTTATTTTCCGAGCAAACTTATTCGTTTCTTCATGTTTTATATTTGTGTCTAAATATTCCTTAAATTTTCGTTGACCGACGAAGGTTGAAAAAACATTCGGAACGAGATAGGAACGTGTTGCTTCGACGTCAGCTACATTTGAATAATTAACGACGTCGTATTAGAAAGTTGGTTCAAAGTTCGTTACTGCGTGCACGAGACCAACAGGAAATTTAATGTTAAATACAGTTTCTATCGAATCGTGTCAGGGGGAAATGTCAAGCCCTCTATATCACTATATTCGCGTGCTTCAAACATTTGAGGATAGACAGTCTCGATATTTCCAGTAATTTCCATAATCAATACAGACCTTTCTAAGAACTAGTGAAATTGAAACCAGTTGCAACTGCTTCAGCCATACTTATGCTAATTTCAAAATAAAAAGGAGAGCCCCTCGTTAACCGCTCGAGGACTCCAGACATGAAACCCAATTCTCCATTTTTTCCTTATCGACTGTTCTCAGGTAAAAATTTTATATTTTAAAAATGTTAACTCGTTTCTCACGATTCAGCGTGACCTTCCCCTTCGCGGTGTTAAATCGCGAAGCCCCTCTCGTCGCAGTTAGCGAGTCGTTTCGTCCAGCGACGCGTCCCAAAGTCAATGGCGTCGCCACGGTAGATCGGAGCGGTCGAATTCTTGTCGAGGGGCGCGAGGCAATTCGTTAATAACGCCAGAAACTCGGCCAGGGTGGCGGGAACGTTTCTCGAAATTGGAAATCAATAAATCCTTCGCGGTATAGCGCACGGGACAACGATGTATCATAGTTTGGGGGGGATTCCGTCGTAGCTACGTCGATCAACACGCCGCTGGTCGTCCCCTCGAGGACAACCCTTTCGTTTCGCCGTGCAGTCAGGTGATCCTGGCGAATCTGCGCATGCAAATCGTTGATAAACGACAATCAACAGGTGTTGAAAGGTCAACGGGCCATTAGGCTCGAATCCAAGCATTGTTATTGCGAGACCTGCGCTCGCTGACCTCCACTCGAATTCGTTAACGAGACCCCCGTGAACTCTTTCGTTGCTTTAACCCTTTGCGGTTCGTAACCGTATATGCTACCAGGCCAAGTGCTTCCAACAGTTTTATCGTTCCGGTCGTTTTCGCACGCTGGAATCAAGTTATCGAATAATAATTCTCATTTTTCTGAAAATTATATCTCGCGCTTTTCTATCGCGC